CTCCTCCTCCTCCTCATCCCATTTCCCCCATTTTTTCCCCCTTTTTCCCCATTTTTCCCCATTTTTTCCCAATTTTCCCCCATTTTTCCCCATTTTTTCTTATTTTTTCCCCATTTTCCCCCAATTTTTCCCAATTTCTCCCATTTTTTCCCAATTTTCCCCAATTTTTCCCAATTTTCCCCAATTTTCCCCAATTTTCCCCAATTTTCCCCATTTTTCCCCAATTTTCTCCAATTTTTCCCCATTTTCCCCCAAATTCCCTCCCCATTTTCCCAACTCTTCCTCCTCCTCCTCCTCCTCATCCAATTTTCCCCATTTTTCCCCATTTTTCCCCATTTTTCCCCATTTTTCCCCAATTTTTCCCATTTTTCCCAATTTTTCCCCATTTTTTCCCAATTTTTCCCAATTTTTCCCTATTTTTTCCCAATTTCCCCCCATTTTTCCCCATTTTTCCCCATTTCTCCCCAATTTTTCCCCATTTTTCCCCAATTTTCCCAATTTTCCCCAATTTTCCCCATTTTTTCCCCAATTTTCCCCATTTTTTCCCAATTTTTCCCCATTTTTTTCCCATTTTTCCCCATTTTTCCCCATTTTTTCCCAATTTTCCCCCATTTTTCCCCATTTTTTCCCAATTTTTCCCCCTTTTTCCCAATTTTTCCCCATTTTTTCCCATTTTTCCCAATTTTTCCCAATTTTCCCCATTTTTTCCCATTTTTCCCCATTTTTTCCCATTTTTTCCCAAATTTTCCCCATTTTTTCCCATTTTTCCCCATTTTTTCCCATTTTTTCCCAATTTTTCCCCATTTTTCCCCATTTTTTCTTATTTTTTCCCCATTTTCCCCCAATTTTTCCCAATTTCTCCCAATTTTTCCCCAATTTCTCCCATTTTTTCCCCAATTTTTCCCAATTTTCCCAAATTTTCCCCCATTTTTCCCAAATTTTCCCAATTTTTCCCCAAATTCCATCCCCATTTTCCCAACTCTTCCTCTTCCTCCTCCTCCTCATCCCATTTCCCCCGTTTTTCCCCATTTTTCCCCATTTTTCCCAATTTTCCCCCATTTTTCCCCATTTTTCCCCATTTTTTCCCAATTTTTCCCAATTTTTCCCCATTTTTTCCCATTTTTCCCCCTTTTTCCCCATTTTTTCCCAATTTCTCCCAAATTTTCCCCAATTTCTCCCAATTTTCCCCAATTTTTCCCAATTTTCCCCAATTTTCCCCAATTTTCCCCAATTTCTCCCCATTTTCCCCCAAATTCTCTCCCCATTTTCCCAACTCTTCCTCCTCCTCCTCATCCCATTTCCCCCATTTTTTCCCAATTTTCCCCATTTTTTGTTTCATTTTTTCCCCATTTTTCCCCATTTTTCCCCATTTTTTCCCATTTTCCCAATTTTTTCCCCATTTTTCCCCATTTTTCCCCATTTTTCCCCATTTTTCCCCATTTTTTCCCAATTTTCCCCCATTTTTTCCCATTTTTCCCCATTTTTCCCCATTTTTCCTCATTTTTTCCCAATTTTTCCCCATTTTTCCCCATTTTTCCCCATTTTCCCCAATTTCTCCCATTTTTTCCCCAATTTCTCCCAATTTTTCCCCATTTTCCCCAATTTTCCCCAATTTTTCCCCATTTCCCCCAAATTCCCTCCCCATTTTCCCAACTCTTTCTCCTCCTCCTCCTCCTCATCCCATTTCCCCCATCTTTTTCCAATTTTTCCCCCTTTTTCCCCATTTTTTCCCAATTTCCCCCAATTTTTCCCCAATTTCCCCCAATTTTCCCCAATTTTTCCCCAATTTTCCCCAATTTTCCCCAATTTTTCCCCAATTTTTCCCAATTTTTATCCATTTTTCCCCTTTTTTCTCAATTTTTCCCAATTTTTCCCAAATTTTCCCCAATTTTCCCAATTTTTTTGCAATATTTTCCCCAAATTTTCCCCAATTTTTCTCCATTTTTCCCTTTTTCTCAATTTTTCCCATTTTCCTTCCTTTTCATCCCAATTTTCCCTTCCCAATTTCCCCCATTTTCCCCCAATTTTCCCAATTTTCCCCCATTTTTCCCAAATTTTCCCAATTTTCCCCATTTTTCCCCAATTTTTCCCAATTTTTCTCCATTTTTCCCCTTTTCCCCCAATTTTTCCCAATTTTTCTCCATTTTTCCCCTTTTTCCCCAATTTTTCCCATTTTCCTTCCTTTTCATCCCAATTTTCCCTTCCCATTTTTCCCATTCTCCCCCATTTTTCCCCATTTTTCCCAATTTTCCCCATTTTTCCCCATTTTTCCCCATTTCCCCAATTTTTCCCCCTTTTTCCCCATATTCACCAATTTTTCCCATTTTTTCCCAATTTTTCCCAATTTCCCCCCATTTTTCCCAATTTTTTCCCAATTTTTTCCCAATTTTTTTGCAATATTTTTCCCCATTTTTCCCAATTTTTCCCAATTTTTCCCAAATTTTCCCCAATTTTCCCCAATTTTTATCCATTTTTCCCATTTTTTCTCAATTTTTCCCAATTTTCCCCATTTTCCCCCATTTTTCCCCATTTTCCCATTTTCCCCCCTCCTTTTTCCCCATTTTTCCCCAAGTTTTCCCAAATTTTCCCCAATTTTTCCCAATTTCACTCCAATTTTCCTCATTTTTCCCAATTTTTCTCAATTTTTTTCCCAATTTTTTCCCCAATTTTTTCCCAATTTTCCCCAATTTTCCCCAATTTTTCCCAATTTTTCCCAAATTTTCCCCAATTTTTCTTAATTTTTATCCATTTTCCCCTTTTTTCCCAATTTTTCCCATTTTCCTTCCTTTTCATCCCAATTTTCCCTCCCCATTTTCCCCCAATTTTCCCAATTTCCCCCAATTTCCCCCCTCATTTTTCCCCAATTTTCCCCGATTTTACCCCAATTTTTCCCAATTTTGCTCCAATTTTCCTAATTTTTCCCAATTTTTGTCCATTTTCCCCATTTTCCCAATTTTCCCCAATTTTCCCCAAATTTTCCCCAATTTTTCCCAATTTTACTCCAATTTTCCTCATTTTTCCCAATTTTTTTCAATATTTTTCCCAATTTCCCCCAATTTTGCCCCAATTTTTCCCCATTTTTCCCCATTTTCCCCATTTTTCCCCATTTTCCCCATTTTTCCCCCAATTTTTCCCCATTTTTCCCTATTTTCCCCCATTTTTCCCCATTTTTTCCCATTTTTCCCCATTTTTTCCCAATTTTCCCAATTTTTTCCCTATTTTTCCCCATTTTTTCCCAATTTCCCCCCATTTTTCCCCATTTTTCCCTATTTTTCCCCATTTTTCCCCATTTTTCCCATTTTTCCCCAAATTTTCCCCATTTTTTCCCATTTTTTCCCATTTTTCCCCAATTTTTCCCCATTTTTTCCCCCTTTTTTCCCATTTTTCCCCATTTTTTCCCATTTTTCCCCATTTTTTCCCAATTTTTCCCCATTTTTTCCCCATTTTTCCCCATTTTTTCCCAATTCCCCCCATTTTTCCCCATTTTTCCCTATTTTTCCCCATTTTTTCCCATTTTTTCCCCATTTTTCCCCATTTTTTCTCAATTTTTCCCATTTTCCCCCATTTTTCCCCATTTTTTCTCAATTTTCCCCCATTTTTCCCCAATTTTTCCCATTTTTCCCAATTTTTCCCCATTTTTCCCCCATTTTTTCCCCATTTTTCCCCATTTTTCCCCAATTTTTCCCTCTTTTTCCCCATTTTTCCCCATTTTTTCCCAATTTTCTCCATTTTTCCCCATTTTCCCCCCAATTTTTCCCCATTTTTCCCATTTTTTCCTAATTTTTCCCATTTTTCCCCATTTTCCCCCAAATTTTCCCCATTTTTCCCCATTTTTCCCCATTTTTCCCCAATTTTCCCAATTCTTCCCCATTTTCCCCCAAATTCCATCCCAATTTTCCCAACTCTTCCTCCTCCTCCTCCTCCTCATCCCATTTCCCCCATTTTTCCCAATTTTTCCACAATTTTTCCCCATTTTTTCCCAATTTTTCCCCATTTTTCCCCATTTTTCCCCATTTTTCCCTATTTTTCCCAATTTTTTCTCAATTTTCCCCCATTTTTTCCCCATTTTTCCCAATTTTTCCCAATTTTTCCCCATTTTCCCCAATTTTTCCCATTTTTCCCCATTTCCCCTCCAATTCCATCCCCATTTTCCCAACTCCTCTTCCTCCTCTTCCTCCCCATCCCATTTTTCCCAATTTTTCCCAATTTTTCTCAATTTTCCCCCAATTTCCCCCAAATTTTTCCCCCTTTTTCCCCCATATTCCCCAATTTTTCCCATTTTTTCCCAATTTTCCCCAATTTTCCCAATTTTTCCCAATTTTTTTCAATTTTCCCCCATTTTTTCCCCATTTTTCCCAATTTTTTCCCAATTTTTCACAATTTTTCCCCAATTTTTTCCAATTTTTATCCATTTTCCCCTTTTTTCCCAATTTTTCCCATTTTCCTTCCTTTTCCTCCCAATTTTCCCTCCCCATTTTTCCCCAATTTTCCCAATTTCCCCCAATTTTCCCCATTTCCCCCAATTTTCCCAATTTCCCCAAATTTTCCCCAATTTTTCCCCAATTTCCCCAATTTTTCCCATTTTTCCCCATTTTTCCCAATTTCCCCCATTTTTCCCCAAATTTTCCCCAATTTTTCCCCATTTTCCCAATTTTTCCCCATTTTCCCCCAATTTCTCCCATTTTTCCCCATTTTCCCCAATTTTCCCAATTTCCCCCAATTTTCCCCCATTTTTTTCACCATTTCCATTTTTCCCATTTTTTCCAGTTTCCCTCCCGTGGGCGACGCCTTCAGGTAACGCAAAAATTCCCCCAAAAATCCGGATTTTGGGCAAAACCTGGACTTTTTACCCAATTTTCTCCATTCCCACCTCCAAAAAACGCAATTTTTGACCATTTTCACACTTTTTGGACCCAATCCGAACCCCAAAATCTGCCCTGGCTTGGTGGAACCTCCAGGACCTTCTGGGTGATTCCAAACCTTCTCCAGACTCCAAAAAATTGGGGATTTTGGGCAAAATTGGGTGGTTCCTCTCCATCTTCTCCATTCCCACCTCCAAAAAATGCAATTTTTGGCCATTTTTAGGCTTTTTTGACCCAATTCAAACCCCAAAATCTCCCCTGGCTTGGTGGAACCTCCAGGACCTTCTGGGTGATTCCAAACCTTCTCCAGACTCCAAAAAATTGGGGATTTTTGGTGAAAACTGAGATGTTCTTCACCATCTTCTCCATCTTCTCCATCCCCACCTCCAAAAAATGGAATTTTTGACCGTTTTCACCCTTTTTAGCCCCAGATCTCCGTCCCACCACCCCAAATATCTTGGAGATCCCAAACCTTCTCCAGACTCCCAAAAATTGGGGATTTTGGGCAAAATTGGGTGGTTCCTCTCCATCTTCTCCATTCCCACCTCCAAAAAATGCAATTTTTGGCCATTTTTACCCTTTTTAGCCCCAGATCTCCCTCCCCCCGCCCCCAACATCTCGGTGACACCAAATCTTCTCCAGACACACAAAAAATTGGGGATTTTTGGTGAAAACTGAGATGTTCTTCACCATCTTCTCCATCTTCTCCATTCCCACCTCCAAAAAATGGAATTTTTGACCATTTTCACCCTTTTTAGCCCCAGATCTCCGTCCCACCACCCCAAACATCTCGGAGATCCCAAACCTTCTCCAGACTCCAAAAAATTGGGGATTTTTGGTGAAAACTGAGATGTTCTTCACCATCTTCTCCATCTTCATCATTCCTACATCCAAAAAATGCAATTTTGGCCATTTTCGCCCTTTTTGGACCCATTTTTCTTCCTCAGATCTCCGTCCCACCACCCCAAACATCTCAATGATCCCAAATCTTCTCCAGACTCCAAAATTTGGGGATTTTTGGTGAAAACTGAGATGTTCTTCTCCATGTTCTCCATCTTCTCCATTCCCACCTCCAAAAACCTCAATTTTTGACCATTTTCACCCTTTTTAGCCCCAGATCTCCCTCCCCCCGCCCCCAAGATCTCGGTGACACCAAATCTTCTCCAGACACACAAAAAATTGGGGATTTTTGGTGAAAACTGAGATGTTCTTCACCATCTTCTCCATCTTCTCCATTCCCACCTCCAAAAAATGCAATTTTTGACCATTTTCACCCTTTTTGGACCCAATTCAAACCCCAAAATCTCCCCTGGCTTGGTGGAACCTCCAGGACCTTCTGGGTGATTCCAAACCTTCTCCAGACTCCAAAAAATTGGGGATTTTGGGCAAAATTGGGTGGTTCCTCTCCATCTTCTCCATCTTCATCATTCCCACCTTCTCCAACCACTCCAAACATGGAATTTTTGGGTCATTTTTGGGGTTTTTTGCCCCAATCCTAAAAAAAATTGGGATTTTGAGGGAATTTTGGGAGGTTCTTCTCCATCTTCTCCATTCCCACCTCCAAAAAATGCAATTTTTGACCATTTTCACCCTTTTTGGACCCAATTCAAACCCCAAAATCTCCCCTGGCTTGGTGGAACCTCCAGGACCTTCTGGGTGATTCCAAACCTTCTCCAGACTCCAAAAAATTGGGGATTTTTGGGCAAAAATGAGATGTTCTTCACCATCTTCTCCATCTTCTCCATTCCCACCTCCAAAAAATGGAATTTTGGCCATTTTTGCCATTTTTGGACCCATTTTTCTTCCTCAGATCTCCGTCCCACCACTCCAAACATCTCAATGATCCGAAATCTCCAGACACACAAAAAATTGGGGATTTTTGGTGAAAACTGAGATGTTCTTCACCATCTTCTCCATCTTCTCCATTCCCACCTCCAAAAACCTCAATTTTTGACCGTTTTCACCCTTTTTAGCCCCAGATCTCCGTCCCACCACCCCAAACATCTCAATGATCCCAAATCTTCTCCAGACACACCAAAAATTGGGGATTTTTGGTGAAAACTGAGATGTTCTTCACCATCTTCTCCATCTTCTCCATCCCCACCTCCAAAAAATGGAATTTTGGGCCATTTTTAGGCTTTTTTGACCCAATCCAAACCTCAAAATCTCCCCTGGCTTGGTGGAACCTCCAGGACCTTCTGGGTGATTCCAAACCTTCTCCAGACTCCAAAAAATTGGGGATTTTTGGGCAAAAATGAGATGTTCTTCACCATCTTCTCCATCTTCTCCATTCCCACCTCCAAAAAATGCAATTTTTGACCATTTTCACCCTTTTTAGCCCCAGATCTCCGTCCCACCACCCCAAACATCTCAATGATCCCAAACCTTCTCCAGACACACAAAAAATTGGGGATTTTGGTGAAAACTGAGATGTTCTTCACCATCTTCTCCATCTTCTCCATTCCCACCTCCAAAAAATGCAATTTTTGACCATTTTCACCCTTTTTAGCCCCAGATCTCCCTCCCCCCGCCCCCAACATCTCTGTGACACCAAATCTTCTCCAGACACACAAAAAATTGGGGATTTTTGGTGAAAACTGAGATGTTCTTCACCATCTTCTCCATCTTCTCCATTCCCACATCCAAAAAATGCAATTTTGGCCGTTTTCGCCCTTTTTGGACCCATTTTTCTTCCTCAGATCTCCGTCCCACCACCCCAAACATCTCAATGATCCCAAACCTTCTCCAGACACACAAAAAATTGGGGATTTGGGGCAAAATTGGGTGGTTCCTCTCCATCTTCTCCATTCCCACCTCCAAAAAACGCAATTTTTGACCATTTTCGCCCTTTTTGGACCCAATTCAAACCCCAAAATCTCTCCTGGCTTGGTGGAACCTCCAGGACCTTCTGGGTGATTCCAAACCTTCTCCAGACTCCAAAAAATTGGGGATTTTGGGCAAAATTGGGTGGTTCCTCTCCATCTTCTCCATTCCCACCTCCAAAAAACCCAATTTTTGACCATTTTCACCCTTTTTAGCCCCAGATCTCCGTCCCACCACCCCAAACATCTTGGAGATCCCAAATCTTCTCCAGACTCCAAAAAATTGGGGATTTTTGGTGAAAACTGAGATGTTCTTCTCCATCTTCTCCATCTTCTCCATCCCCACCTCCAAAAAACTCAATTTTTGACCATTTTCACCCTTTTTAGACCCATTTTTCTTCCCCAGATCTCCGTCCCACCACCCCAAACATCTCAATGATCCCAAATCTTCTCCAGACACACAAAAAATTGGGGATTTTGGGCAAAATTGGGTGGTTCCTCTCCATCTTCTCCATTCCCACCTCCAAAAAATGCAATTTTTGACCATTTTCACCCTTTTTAGCCTCAGATCTCCGTCCCACCACCCCAAACATCTCAGAGATCCCAAATCTTCTCCAGACTCCCAAAAATTGGGGATTTTGGTCAAAATTGGGTGGTTCCTCTCCATCTTCTCCATTCCCACCTCCAAAAAATGCAATTTTTGACCATTTTTGCCCTTTTTGGACCCAATCCAAACCCCAAAATCTCCCCTGTCTTGGTGGAACCTCCAGGACCTTCTGGGTGATTTATGAAACCTTCTCCAGACTCCAAAAAATTGGGGATTTTGGTCAAAATTGGGTGGTTCCTCTCCATCTTCTCCATTCCCACCTCCAAAAAATGCAATTTTTGGCCATTTTCACCCTTTTTGGACCCAATTCAAACCCC